AGGGTAGCTGTGTTCAATAAAACTTTATTTTAAAAAAGAGATGGCAGTTCAAATTTGACCTCTGGATCATAGTTTTCTGAGCCCACTCCTTTCCCAGACCTTGTGAGAAAACTGATTACCAGGATATTTTACTTGGATGACCAACCGGTGGCAAATTTATTTTACTGCCATTTCAGTTAGGCCAAGGGTAAATGTTTATTTGACTAGTCTCTCATCCAATTAAAAAGATCCAGTGGTTCCATTTTTAAAGTTGACCTTACAAATCTATTTCTGCCTAGAGATTCATTCTCATTGATGAAACTGTTGCTGAACTGTCTAACATTTGTAATTGTACAATTGAAGTCTGAACAACAGGTGCGATAGTTCATGAATTCTGAGGAGCAAATGATAAAATGAGGTTAGACGTGTAGGGAATTTATTAGGAGAAATGTCTGTAAGGGAAAATTGAGAAGACACCAGAGTTGTAGGAGTACTTTCTGCCTGGGATGCAGGTCTAGCCACAGTGAAGAGGAAAGAGAAGGAAAGGAGACTGCGTGGAAATCTTAGTCTGCAAGACAGTTGTGGGAAAGTTTAACGAGGCTGATGGAGAGCTCTTTGCCAAGGGCTCATGTCAGTAGGTCTCACAGCTCCCAGAAACAGGTCTGACCCAAGTGTTGCTGCCACGTATCTCGGGCTGGAAGTGGCCACTGGAAATTGTGGCCCCTGTACCCATCCACTGATGGATTTCAGAGCACAGCACATAGAACCATTGGTCAGTTACACTCCCCATAGTAGAAAGGTGTATTTTTATAACTTCAGGGAAAGACTCTGTAGTTAATTCATTCAAGGATAGGTTAGGAAAGAAATGGCTTAGAAATGCTTGCCATGTTAACTCAGTTAAACTCGCTGAGGATAAGAACTATTATACTTACTGTTGTATTCTACAAAACACCTATTAAAATATCTTGCATCAAGGAGGTACTTAAAATATATCTTTGTAAATTTGATTAAATTCCATTTCTAATACTCTGGGTCCTCTGCAATTCACTGGAAGTTGGAGAAAACTCAGGCTCTGTATGAAGGAACTTCCTGTAGTTACACAGCCAGCAAGGACAGCACAGCACCGGCCCTGGGATTGAGGGAGATGGTGTGCAGTCACATAGCAACATAGCAATGACAGGGGAACCAGCAGCAGCAGCAGAGAAGCAGCAGCAGCAGCTGTGCCACTTGTAGAAAACACTCAGTGGCTACTATCAGGTTTACTTTACCTTTGCCTTATCTGATTCCCATCTAACTCTCTGCTTAAAGCCATTTAGTGCCCACCACCTTAGACATGGAACGGAGTTTAGACTCTGATGCTGAACTTCCTGGGTTCAAATATTTGCTCTGACATTTACCAGTTTTTCATCTGGGTCGAGTTGCTTCACCTCCCTGGGTTTCAGTTTCTACTTATTTTTAAATATATATATATATATATATATATATATATATATATATATATATATATATATATATATATTGGTTTTAGAGAGGAAGGGAGAGGAGGAGAGAAATAGAAATAACAATGATGAGAGATGTCCCCTACTAAGGATCGAGCATGTGCCCTGACTACAAATTTAACCCTTACCTCCTGGTTCCATAGGTCTATGCTCAGCCACTGAATCATGCTGGCCAGGCCCAGATTATACATCTTTAAATATGAGATAGTAATAGTATCTATCTCATAGAATTAAAAAAATATGTATATTAAATAGGTAATATATATGTAAAGTTTCTTAGAATAGAGTTCAGCGCAGATTATCAGAGGTGAATTTTAATGTAGTTTATCTGTTGTTGTTCCTCTAATCAACACTGCCTGAGGAAGAAGTCAAAAATAGACTCTCACTACAGGAAGGTCATGAATAATGTTTGAAAGGAACGCCTTCATATTGCACACTTGGAAAGAGGAACTGGAAGGAGAGGACATGTTGGCACAAACTGATAACAGAGTGAGAAAAACACTGCAAGCTGGAATACAGAGGAAGAAACAGGCTGCTGGTGGTTCCTGATTCTCACTGCCAAGACCAGCAGCATTACTTAAACTATTTGTCTCCTTTCCGATCTTGATGCTTATTGAGCACAGGAGTATTTTTTTAAATGTCATTGCGGTAAAACCATGGCTTTAACACCTTTTGCTAAGGTCCAGCCCAGAAGGTGAGCAGAGGACTGGAAAGCAATGTTACTTATCTCTAGAACAAATATATTGCAAAACCACTGGCATGAGCTCCTGAAATAACTGAGGACCTGAAGTCAGTTTAGGGAAAGCCACACTCACCAACCATGAAACAATGTAGAATGATTATGAGAGCAAAAGCCAGGAGCACTCCTGGTTAGCACAAAAGGTTTTACTGGTTTCTAAGAGCTTGCTATAAAAGAACAGAGTATAAGGAGATGAACGATAATTCAAGACTCATTCTGTAACCTTGGTCATGCATCAGGATGTGACTGCAGTGGCACATTAGGCCCAAGGAGAACATATCCTGCTGCAAAAGTTCAAATAAGCACCGCACAGGAGTACATTCACCGGAAAAGGGTTTGGAGCCTCCCTGTCATTGTGAGTTGTGATGCGTTTTAGATCTTTGAGATGTTTTCAAAGTTGCAGCTATGTTAAAATTCTTGATGCATCTAAAACTTTCATAGGTGTTTAATAACTACTTAGTTTTAGCTCCTCAACATCAGGAGTAGGTTGGTGTTTTCCCCTCCCCCCCTATGAGTTATTTGTACTATTCACCATAAGGTTCATATCCCTTAGCCTTAATGATGTAGAACAAGTTTGTTATCTTACAAAATCTTATGTATCTCAGCAGTGATTAGTATGCTGAGACAATGAAAATTCCTGCCCTCTCCTGTAACTCCAATTCTGGGTAGAAAGAGAACAAAAATAACTCAAGAGGTTTTCAGGGGAGGAAGGGAGGAGGAAAGAGGGGAGAATATGTCATGTTTGTCATAAAACTTATTATAATGTTATCACTGAAATGCATACACATTTTAAATGTTCAACTAAGAAGGGTAATATTAATTGTGTATTTCAATTTTTGAATATGTGAAATGCTTTGTAGGAGCTGGTTAGTATCCTGTTCCAATGAAAATAGAAAAAATATACTCACATTATTGATACCACAATGTTCATAGACTCCCAAGCTTACTTACTGTGATGATAAATGACTATATACAGTCTCATATATTTTAGTTATCTTATGTAGTTTTCCCTTCTCCATCCCTCATGGTTTTCTGATGATAGTGTACTATCATAAAAAATATTTTCCCAAGCCTCTGTGATGTACTGATCCAATGTAATCCATATTTAAGTTCTAGTTCAATTAGTTAATTATTAGTATTACTATTCAAGAAGGATAGCAGAAGAAATAAATGAATATGCTTCAGTTGGAGTCTCAGATTTGCTTCAATAGCTGTGTCAATGTGAGAAAAATCACTGAAGCTTTTTTACCTATTTTCTCCAAATGATTTTCAAAAAAAGTCATTTGGCCCTAGCTGATGAGCTCATTGGTTAAAGCATTGCCCTGTGCACCCAAAGGTCAAAGGTTTGATTCCTAGTCAAGGGCATGTACTTAGGTTGGGGGTTCACTCTTTGCCCCAGTCAAGGTACATATGGGAGGCAACCATTGATGTTTCTCTCTCTGCTCTCCCTCCATTCCTTCTACTCTCTCTGAAAAGCAATGAAAAAAATATCCTCAGGTGAGGATAAAAATAAAAAGTAATTTGTACATGGGAAATTGGTTTGTGTAACATAAAAAGCTCTATCCATATAAATTATTATTATCCTTTCTCTTTATATATCAGCAATATAATGCCATTAAGACAAATGAAATAAAATAGAAATAAGGTTGCATCTTACTTTTAAGTTTATATTGCTAAAATAATTAAACAAGAAGGCAGTTAGACTGAGGTAACAGTAATGTTCTGAAACCTACATAAGCAAACCAAAACCTAAGCCAGAATCAATGCACTTAAATCCAAGAAAATGAAACTCGTCACAAACAGCCAGCAAGGATTTCCCAAATAAAGCAACTACTTAAGCTACAGCTAGTCAGATTGCTTCTGCATCTTCTCTATTAAAACCTTCCCCTTAGTTCCCTGGTAGCCACCGCCCAATCCTAACCAATGTTTGCTCAAATAAACTCTTGACAATTTAATGTGCCTCATTTTACCTTTTAACAGAATTATCTCAGCTTTGATTCTAGAAATCAACTATATTGGTTTTCAGAATGGTAGCTGAAATAGCTATTTTCATGGTACTAAGCAGATAGAGACCATAATCGATCCAGTCACCAAAAATGACATTTTCACCAAACTAAAAAAATAGGTTTGTGACAGTGATAAAGGATATTTTACTGATTTGTATAACAGATATGTATGATTGTGCATTAATAAGTATGTCATTGTCCATGGGAGGATAATACATACATACATATGTATGTTCATGCATAGGTATACATATGGATAAAGAGTTTTAATCAACTCCTCATTATAATATCATGCTGAATAAAAAATAAAAAAAACACACGACACATTCCTGATTAGTTCATTTGGGGTTTTCCTTCCTATCCACTGTGCACAAAACCTGGGCAGGTGCCACTATGGCTAAGAACTACGAGACAAAGCAGGGCAGATAAAGAATGCACATAAAAGGGACCAACTGGACCCAAATGGTTATTTTGTTTGACACACATCATAACACATTTGGTAGCTGCAGTGTTTATTTGAATGGAAATGCTGATTAAGTCCTCTGCCAGCCCTGTTTTTACAAACACACATACAAAGCTAAATATACCAACCCTCATCTAATCAAAAGAAACATGCATAGCATGTCAGGCAGTCCTTGTTGTTATTACCAACCAACAAAAAAATGTATATGTTTCCCCAGTTCCAGTGTGAAATGTGCTCTGTGTTTATGGAGTAAGCTAACAGGGGGAAAAATATCTTCCCAGTTAAGAGTTTGTAGACTGGCCTAGGGGTCATACCTGAGTCTCCACATCTGTCAGCTTTCTGGTCTGCTCTGCGGTCTGCGAGAGGAGGCTGGTTCCTATCTCGAGCATGGTGGCCGTGTGGTTCTGAACTGCACTCTGCTGTATCTGGGCCATTTCCGACTTCATATTTTCCACCACGTAATTCTCAATCTGCAAGAGATAAAGGACCAAATATACTACATTATAAGCAAAGCCTCTCAGTCGGAGCATGTAATATTTACAATGACAAAACGAGACACAGCTGGCAAATTAGCCATCTGGCTGGGCCCCTCTGCATCTCTGGGAGCTGGGGAACTGGAGCAGAGCACACAGGAATCCAGTTGTTAACAAACTGCTAATAGCCTGATACATGTATGTAATCATCACAAGCTTAATGAACACTTGCACTTGGATAGTGCTTTCTTACTTTCAACATCATCTCTTTTAACCCTCGGAGCAAAAATGTGAGAGTTAGGCACAGATGGCCTCATCGTCCTTTTCATTTTATGGCAGAGAAAATGGAATAAGAGAAGGTGAATCGAGCCCAAGGTCACTCAACAAGAATGCAGCAGGGTTAGCATTAGGCAACTTAAGTCAGAGTCTTGGCTCCCTGGTCTTTCCATTACACCATATTGACCACTCATCTCAGAAAAATTTAGCCTCCTCCTTCCATTTCTCTAATGAAAAATAAAGATGGTGCTGAGTTATGGCAATGGGAGGACAGATGCTCCAAACACAAGCTTTTAAAAGAATATTAAAGTATAGGCAGCCAAATATGTAACGAGCTGCAAAACCTCGGAGATAGGTAAGACCTTGGAGCTATTCTCATTACTCCTTTGCAAGCTAAAATCAAAAAAAGGCACTGAAATAGTCAATAAAGCTCCATTTGGCATTCTCGGTTTGGGTTATATTTAGTCCTATTTATGGTGACATCTTTGAGAATACCACAATTATAAAATAAATGGTGTACCATAGGGGCCAAGAAGAATTACTATGTGATGTACTATCTGAGAGTCTGGTAGGCATGTGGGAGAATACAGCTAAGCATGTGCACTGCTCAAAAATACAGAAGAAGCCTGCACCTCCCTTTCAGAGCACTTAATTCTCCCCCACCACTGTGTGGTGACTACATTTTATTACCTAATTACACATATGGGGAAATTGCATCCCAGAGAAGTCAGATCCAAGGCCACACACCACAAAAACAGCCAGACTTGGATTTGAGTGCTGAAGTCCTTAGCTTTCATACTGACACTTTTAACCACTTGATAGCTCTGCCAAGTCGTGCTTCACAAGCTGGGTTCCAAATCATTAACAGCTACGTGACTTTTACTGACTTGGTGATTCAGAATGTATCCGCTATTTTATAATCCACAGTGACATTACTGTCCTGCATTAAATACAGTCTAAAACTAAATTCCCCTTTGTGGATCTTTGGCAGTTTACTTTCTAACACCATCTCTGGCTTATTTCTCTTCATCAAATATAAACGAATCTGCCTGAAGGTAAAGGAAATGAAAAGTTAGGACCAAATTCATATTGTGTTTAATAAATCCTTTTATTATTGGTCAATATAAGATAATGCCCCTTCATCTTTTATTCTCAAATTAGAAGTGTGTCGGGGGGATTCAACCTACAAAAAGTTATTATAAAACAAATAAAAATAGATTAAAGTAAATATCTGGAAATCATCTTAACAAAAGGTAAGGTCTCTAAGCCAAATCTTGGCTTCATTCTGCTTGAACTAACATATTTAAACAATGAAAGTGTAGAGTTAAGGAGGGTAGATCAGAGTATCAGCCAGCTGATGTTTTGGATTCTGTATTGAATGTTTCCCCTTTTCCTAATTACATTACTTAAATTTCTTTTGGGAAATGATCTTTTCCACCTTCACAACAATTACTTCAGGTGGAATTGTATCCCCCTAGATTCAGAAGTAGGTACATGTTTGAGCCTGAAAACCAGAATGTTCTGCTCTTACTTAGAGAGAGTGAATAGTTCATGAATACAAAAATATTCTAAACAAGGACACTAAGTCTCAGTTCTGCAATTTTGTCCAACTATTTCACAAAATATTTTTTTTACCTCTATGCTTAGTAAGCTGGTAACATATATGCCTGCGACTTTAATCACAAAACCAGAAGAAGCCTAAGAATAAGGCCAACTCAGAAAGACAGTCAGAAAGATAGACAGACTGACAGGTAATATAGATGGAAGGATATATATATTTATTAAAATATTTTAATCCTCACCTGAGGATATTTTTAATGTTTTTATTGATGTTAGAGAGAGGGGTAAGGGGGGGAGGAGAGAGAGAGAGAGAGAGAGAGAGAGAGAGAGAGAGAGAGAGAGAGAGAAGAGAGAGAGAGAGAGATGAACAAGCAAGCTTTTGTTTGGGATGATGCTTTAACCAACTGAGCCAGGGCTAGAAGTATATTTTTAGAGCACCTTAATCCAGTCAAGTTTTTAGCCAGATCCACCCTTGGGCATTCAATTATAAATTATGTGATCGATAATAATAATCTCCCATTAAGCAGTCCACTTTTTTTTTCTTCAGTCACATTAATTTATATTTCTAACACAACCAAAAGAGTCTTGATACATACTTTTGATAGCTTTTACTAAAGGAAACTTCAGACAGGCAAACATTAGAAGCATGTTCTTTACATGTCTAGGGAATAAATATGTATATAAACATGTATATTCTTAAATAGGGCAGGTAAATCTTGATCTAGGAGATAATTTATCATTTATAGCTGATATTTATTCATTGTCTATTTAGTGGCAGGCACTGAGTTAAGTGCTTTTATTTTTCTTTAAATAACAGCACTTTTTTTATAGACTCAGCATAGAACAGATTATTGAGGCTTAGAAAATTCACAAATTGCTCAGGAAGAAACAAGAACTCAATTGCCAGTGTCAACCCATGTTCTTACCCTCTAATCTATTCAGCTTGGCACTTCTTAATTATTCTACATATTTTATTATGTAGCCCCTAAACCTTGTATGTTCATCAAAAAAAAACTACATGGAGAGTGTTTTAAAAATGCACGTAAAGGTACAACACATCAGACTCTGACTCAGAATTTTCAATGGTATATTACTAGGAAACTATATGTTTTCAAATGCTTCCAACCATGATTCTGTTTCAGGCAAAGATCAGTGCTTCTCAAGGTGTGGTCCAAAGAATAATTGCCTGTGTGAGAATAGTCTGTCATGAGATAAAGAACTTGTGCCAGAATGTAAATTAGTGCCACTAAATTTATTTATGCAATATAAGTATGTGTATATAGAGATAGTGGAGCAAGACTTTCTCAGTGAAGAAAGAGATGCTCTAGCACTTTAACATATTCTGGAGCAAGCTTCTTAATGTTGCTCATAACATTTCCTTGAGTGCCAATAATTTATACCATCAAATTATTTCTGATATGTCAGCCTCCCTGCTTATGAAGACATGTCAAAAAAACAACTTAAGGCCGAGACCGGTTTGGCTCAATGGATAGAGCGTTGGCTTGGGGACTGAAGGGTTCCGGGTTAGATTCCGGTCAGGGGCATGTACCTTGGTTGCGGGCATATCCCCAGTAGGGGGTGTGCAAGAGGCAGCTGATCGATGACTCTTTCTCATCGATGTTTCTAACTCTCTCTCTCCTTTCTTCTCTGTACAAAATCAATAAAATATATTTTTTAAAAAACAAAAAAAAAACTTAAGTTTCCCATGTAGATTTCTCTCCTGACAAAGAAGTCACTAATCACTGAGCTCTGATACAATCTGCTTGATAATTATACATCATTTTTTAATGCAGTTGGTTAGTGGTCATCAGTTTCAGAGCCTGACTTACTCTTGGTGCAATAATAATCATATTTCCCAGACTCCATAAAGGAGAATACCTCCAGCATAGGTCGAATCTACTTATGATAGACTCTGTTATCTGTCTGTCTATCTTGTATTACTGTGCTTTCCTAAACTGTAAAAGTTAATAACTGCTTTTATGTCAGCATTCATCACCAAAATAACCTCCGAATTCTGCTGGCTCTGTTAGAGAAATAAAGTAGGTCTCCAACCTACAATGAAATTATCATTTGGGCTGCCATGATGAGTAACATGAATATAATTAGTTAACGTTTTTAAATCAAATGGAGCTGCTTTCTTTAGCAGTAACTGCCTTTTAATGTGTAAGGTAATGGCACTCTTAAGTAGCAAAATCCAGATGTAGTTGATTTAAAGGCTGAGGAGAGAGACAGAAGTCAAATATACAATGTGTGATTAATAAGAAGGACCACTTTCATCTTATCTCTAAACATTCCTGTGTAGATGTATAACTATGAGATCCATCTTGATGTGCCATATCAGCTGGGTTCAGGAAGGTTTTGTAACAAATTTGATTGTCTTCATGTATTACCTCCTGGTTTTTAAAATGTTTACAGAATACGATGGCTACATCAAGGTTCAATATTTTATAAATATGTAGGATGTGCATTTTAAGCTTAGAGGTTGCTAAGTCTAAGAGTTGATGAGTTATAAAATAGGAAACTCCCAATCTGAATCATACAGTTATTTGACTGTGTTGCCACTCTCAGTGTTTGACTCCAGAGTTATATAAGTATTGACCAAAATATTTATCATTAGTATACAGGATGCAATTTGATAATGAACAATAAATAATGATTTTTTAAAGTAAGGAAATAATGTTACATTCCTAAAGTGATTAAGAGTTTACAAAAAGTTTTCATACACATTGACTTATTCTTACACCAGCCCTATTGGGAGAGGTTTAAGAAATGGATGCTCAGAGAGCTTAGGTGACTTGATAGAGGTGAAAGAAAGGACTCAAATCCATCTTCTGATGTTCCACTAACCCCAGAACTGTGGGAAATTGAGATTATGACATGGCTTTTCATATCAAATGCATTCTCTATCATTTCATTTCAAGAGATCACTTCAAGGGATCTCTTAAATAAGAGTATATTTTAAAGCACAAAGAATAGAATTTCTCCATGTAATTCTTATTAAAAGAACATTTTAAGCTCTATAAAAATTGACAAAGGCATTGTTCACTTAAAATATGTTGTAGATTAAGTGGACTCTCAATGAATGTTGGTGCATATGGTATTACTATTTATGGCAAAACAGCCATAAAATAAAGTAAAAGGGTAAATATGGGAAAGCAATA